CCAGAACCTTGCCAGGCACTGAGGTCAGGCTGACAGGCCTGGAGTTTCCCAGGTCCTCCTTCCCACCCTTTTCGTGGAAATAGGACACCTTTTCCTTTTCCTTTGTTGTTTCACTCCAAGGCTGCTTCACATTTGATGGCCACAGATCCTTCCGAGCTCTCAGCTGGAAATTCCTGGCAGGCAGAACTGCAGGTTCTCTGCCCTAAAGTGGCTTTTGTGACGCAGCAGAATTTTCCCTGGAATTACAATGGTACAATGGAAGTACAGTCCAACTCACTGCTATTTTATATACAGACTACTCTTGATACTGCTCTTCTTTTTTAATTGAAAATAGCACCAAGTCATGAACCACTTCAATATCAAAGACAGATCTCCCTGTGAAAAGAAAACCTGCGAAAATCAGGAATAAAACCACCAACCAGCAATGGAACATTTTCTATCATTTTCCCCCCACTTGCAAGACACATTTATTTACAGGATTTAATTCGAAGCACTGGGGATTCTTTTTCTCTCACTGTGTTCAGGTTGACATTTCAAGGTGCATCAGCTGCATCAGACAGGAAACTACCTAATAATAAGTTTGTTGTTAGCATTAATAACACCACTTCCAGGGCCTCATGTAGTTTCCCCTGTTCTTTCCAGCACGTAAATGCTATTAATTTTACCTCATCCAAATTTGCCTCTTGGAATGATGTTATTGAAACTGTTTAATGAGTCACCGTTGTTTTTTTTTTGAACCTCGCCTTCTGAAGAATAATTTAAAAGGGAATTTTAATCCACTGCCACAGGAAGGTGTGAGTTATTCCAGCTCAGTTCCACTCAGAACCATCTTCAGGGCTTGATTTTTCAATGCTGGACATGATGGGTTTCTCTCCTGTAAACATGTTCTGTGATTAGTGATTGGAATTTTTATGATTTCTTTGGGAAATCCTCGGTCAAACTTGGTTTGTGGCTTGTCTCAAAAGGAGCCTCGGGTAGGCTGTGGTTGAAGTTTATATTTTTAGGCACTTTACATAAGCTGAGTAGAAATTAGGGATAGAATTGGAAGTCTTTTAGGGTCAGTTGGCCTTTTAGGATGTAAAGGGGGCTTGTAAAAAGAGGGAGAGAGACTTTTTACAAGGGCAGATGGTGATGGAGTGAGGGGGAACAGGAAACTGGAAGAGGAAAGATTTACATGGGATGTTGGGAAGGAATTCCTGGCTGGAAGGGTGAGGAGGACCTGGCATAGGTTGCCCAGAGAAGCTGTGGCTGCCCCTGGAGCCCTGGAAGTGTCCAAGGCCACGTTGGAGCAACCTGGGCTAGTGGAAGGTGTCCCTGCCCGTGGTAGGGGGTGGAACTGGATGATCTTGAAGGTCCCTTCCAACCCAAAAAACCTTTCTGTAGTTCTGTAGAAATGTTCTCCTTGTTCTTCTGATGAAACCATAAATCCAAGGAATGTGAGGCTGTGAGGAATTGGAGCAAGGGAAATTTATTGAAGAGCATTTGAATTCTGAGTGGAATCTTGTCAACTAATAATTTCTTGTAACGTTACTGGATATAACATTTTTTTCGTAGAAGCAAAGATTGCAGAGGAATTCTGCAATTCCCAAGCATTTAACAAGCTCTGTGTATGGAGAAGCAAGGAATTCCTGGCTGGGAGGGTGGTGAGGCCCTGGCCCAGGTTGCCCAGAGAAGCTGTGGCTGCCCCTGAATCCCTGGAAGTGTCCAAGGCCAGGTTGGAGCAACCTGGGCTAGTGGAAGGTGTCCCTGCCCATGGAACTGGATGATCTTTCAGATCCCTTCCCACCCAAACCATTCTGGGATCATTCCATGATTCACTTTTTCAGCAGAGGAGGAAAACCAGGTATTCCCACGAGGCAATTCATCCCAGCCCACCATGGATGGGACGACTCTGGAACTGCCCCCTGTCCACTGATGATAAAGTGACTCACCTGAGTAACTGAGATGAGACACGAATTCCACCTTGTTTTAATCCAGAGTTTTCCAGCTCTTCCCTCAGGGTCCAGCACCACTGCCCTGGCTTTGTTTTGGGCACACCAACCTTAATTAACTCCACTACTCTTTATCTGATGTGCCTGAGTGCAGCTTTCCTTGGTGGACAGATGAGCCCACAAGTGGAATTCATCCCCCTCTGGACACAACCAGCCAAGGACAACGATGCTGAGTCCTGTGGGATGAACTTGAACTCCAGAGAAAAGAAACTCTTAAAAGGAATTTTTTTCATTGTTTTTTTTTGGCTAGTCAGCCAGAGCACTGACTATAACTGCAGAATTGCCTCACTTAAGCACATCAGCCACATAAAAGCTAAATGTTTTAGGGCTTGACATTTGAAAAGAACTGGGGAAAATGCAGGTGGTTGGAAATTGCTGTCTGGATGAGCCGCTCCAGCTCCCAGCCAACTCGTCTGCCTTTTTTTTGTGACTGAAGTGCCTCATTGAATGCAGTTAACATGTAAACCCCCTCGGGGTTTTTTTTTTTTTTTACGTCCAGATTTTAAGAGCAGGGATGAAAATGCTTTTCTTTTCCCCTCACAGTTTTCGCGGGTGCCGTGGCTGCGGATTTAACGCTCCGTTTCTGTCGTTCATTAGGTTGCTGAGCTGCCTGAGCTCGAGTGGATTGAAGATCTGCCCCTCCTCCGAGTTCTAAACCTTTTAAAAAACCCTCTGCAGGTAAGAAAGAGGCCAAAGAGGAACCCAAAAAATTAGGATCTAAACCCGGGTGGTTTGGATCACACCGGAATCTTTTTAGCCTCAGTTTCTGTCTTTGTTGGAAGTCATTTCAGGGAATGAGTGGAAGAAATGTTGATCCCTGGGTTGATTCCCAGCCTTTCTCTGGGAAATTTGTCTGAACCAAAGCTGCAAATGAATCATCTTGTTGAATATCCACGTATTAATTTTATTAATTCCATTTTTTAATCCATTTATACGTTTGTACCCCATGATTTCTGTGTGTTAAAAGATCCCCTTTTTGTTTGATTTGAAGGTCTATTGTTCCTATTAAGCTGGAAGAAGCTTAATAACACCCCTTTTAAAATAATGTATCTGGAATCTATATCCTCTTTTCTTCCTAGTTCTCATTTATGGCCCCCATAATATTCCTCAATTGAGGAATCAAACATTCATTTTATCAACAACAACATCATTTCCAAAATATCAGAAATTCTTTGACTTTGCATTTGCAATTTGTCCTGAGTGATCAAAGATGATTTTATCCTGAGCCGTGATTTCTAAATTTTGGGTGACATTTACAGATTTCCAATGGCAGAAAGAGGAATAAATGTCAAAAGAGTTGAATTTTTTCCTGTAATTGCCAGTTTTTTATTGGCTTTTGCGAGAATGATCTGTTGTGACGCACAATGAAATTAGCAGGAAAAAATACCTGAAATAGGCAGCTCCTGGTCCCCCATAAGGGGGCTTTTATTTGATTAGATGTCCTCCTAAGCAAAGTTTGATCATATTCTTTTTGAGCTTTTAATTCCCATCTTTTGCCCTTTGTAGTTTCAGCCTTTTGAACACCTCAGGTCTGGCAGCAGCAGCTGAGCTTGTGGTGAGGAGGGGGTCAATTTGTGCTTGGTACTGACACACCCAGGCTGAAAATCTGGGGATGTATTCAGGCCAGTTTCATTTCAAACGATTGGAATTAAATATTACGTGGAGGAAATCGAGTATTTGGTGTCAAATTAGAAACTTTGTCCCTCAGGAACAAGCAGATTATTGGCTCGCGGCGATTTTCACGGTGCTCCAAGTCACGGAGCTGGACCTCAGGAAGGTTGCAGTGAAAGAAAAGGTATGCAAACATCATGTAATTCTGGGATTTTTCTACATAAAGACCATGAAATCTGTAAAATCTCCTTCCCCCCAAAAACTACTTGGATTGCTCACAGTAACTATTGGAATAAAAACCCTTCCCTGTCGTGGTGCCTGAACCGTAACTTGGTTGCTGCCCGTTGTATTTGGGCCCAAGCCAAGATGGAACTTTTAGGATCATCAGCTGCCAGTTGGGGTTGTGTTTCAAGGAATTATCCTTTAAAAAACGATCCTTTCAGGAAATTCATCACTCCCAACTTCAGCTGCATAAATATTAAGGTTCTTGTTTAATGCCAGGCTTTTTCTGCTGTGAACACACAGGAGGGACGACACCGGAGTGTCATTTACCCCACCTTTGAGATGTTGATCTTGCTCTTTATCTTAAATGCCAACCTGTTTCCCTCCTAATATAATTTTTAATCTTTTAACAACATTTTTCCTTCTCTGTGGACTGTAAAATTAAGCCTGGGTGGCTGGTTTAGACTGGCCCTTTGGGGTGATAAAAGTTATTCCAGAAAATCCTCCCCTCAGGTTATTTCAGGATGTCTCAGCCTCGCGAATTCTCTTGGATTTGGAGGCACCAGCTCTTCTGTCTCACTGGCACAAAATGGACATTCAGAAATGTTTTAGTTTAGATCAAAAATGCAGCAGATCAGAAGTTTAGATCAGTAGTTGAGCTCAGAAGTTTGGAAGGGGAAACTCCTGGTTGCTCATGTTTGATTCTGGTCATGAAATAGTCTTGTATTACATGAACTAGAGCTCTTTTGGCATAACCTTGACCAGATGATGTGCACCAGGATGCACCTACTGTGCTCCCAGCCACTGATTCCAGCACCAAATTAAAGCTAAAATGGAATTGCCTCCCCTTCTCCCAGAGTAGCATGGACATTGGATTCCAAGATGGAATCCAATTCCACCATAACCCGTCCTAGTATAGGTATAACTGCCATGAACCAGGTTGGAAGGGACCTCATGGATCATCTGGTCCAACCTTTTTCTGGGAAAAGAACCATAAAAGATGGCCCAGCACCTTTGTTCAGCCCAATCTTAAAAGTGCCCAACACTGGGAATCCACCCTGCTGACGTTATCATAAAATCCAGGATGGTTTGGGTTGGAAGGGACCTTAAAGATCATCTCCTTCCAACCCCCTGCCATGGGCAAGGACACCTTCCACTATCCCAGGTTGCTCCAAGCCCCTTCCCAACCTGGCCTTGAATATTCCAATGATTGTTCTCACTGTGAATATTTTATCTCTTGTATCCAATTAGAATCTCCTCAGGAGTTACTTGTAGCCATTGACCCTCATTTTATCCATGGGACTCCTGGTACAAAGGGACTCTCCATCCTTGTAGCCACACTTTAAACATTGGAATGTGGTGATAAGGTCTCCCTGAGCCTTTTGTTCTCAGGGCTGAACAAACCCAACCTTTCAGGCTTCCTGGTCCTTGGATCATCTTTGTGGCCCTTCTCTGGACCCTCTCCAGCCTGTCCACATATTTTTTGTACACCAGGAACCAAAACTGAGCCCAATATTCCAGGTGTGGCCTGGCAAGTGCTGAGCAGAGCGGGATAACAACTCCTTGGGATACAACCTGCTCACTCCTACTGAGCTTGTTCTCCCCCAGGTCCCTTCCTGGCAGATCCCAGGTAGATCCCAGCCTGTGTTGCATTCCTAGATTATGTGTTTTCCCAGGTGCAAAACCTTGTCCTTGTTGAGCTTCACAAGGTTCTTCCATCGGGGCTTTTGAAGGTATTTTGCAGCTGGTTGATATTTGATGCTTTACATGAAGTCCTTACCTTATTTCTGAGTGTGTAACATTTAACAACACCCAAAAATATACAGCTCCTTCCAACAGAAGGGATGGAGGGAATCCTTGGAATTTGAGGATTCTTCTCAAATTGAGGATTCTTCTCTTCCTCCCGGGAAAGACAGAAATGCACTGTCAGGAGAAAACTGGAGTTTGCTTGTTTTCTTTATTATTTCTGTTCCTTTTCTGAATGGCTCCAGTCCCTGAGGATTTGAGTTTGGCGTCTTCCACCAGCACTGAGAGGATGCAAATTAACGGATAATTAAAACCTAAGCAAAATCACTTTGTGGCATCCTGTTTTCTTCCCCGGGAAAAGGTTGAATATATTAAAGATGGTGAGTTATATCTGGCTGCCTTCCATCCATCCATCCATCCATCAAACTCTGCCTAAATCTCCTGGAAAGATTTATGTGGCAAGCCCAGCACAAAGACTGACCCCCAGAAACACAACTCCATCATTATTCACAGGGACCTTTGAAGCAAAATTGCAGCTGGAAGCGATTCCATCACTGCTTTTCTGTCTTTTTGCCCCTCTAAACTGTGGGAACAGGTTGCTGCTGTGAATAAATATGATCCTCCTCCAGAAGTTGTTGCTGCAGAAGATCACAGGTCTCTGGTGATATCCCACATGATGCAGCCCCAGAAAATCCTGCACAGGTGAGTTCACCTCATTTCCCAGCTGCTCCTCAGGGTGGCACTCAAGTAAAGCTCAATCCGTTGGCATTTTTAGAGGGACTTTTTTATGTCCTCTAAATTAATCAGGGGAAAGGGGGGGGAAGTTCTGTCCTCTTCCAGTGGCAACCTGGAAATGAGGCAAATCTGATTTGCTCCAAATTGCTCATGAAACCAAGTTCCTCCTTCACCTCCAAAATCTGAGACAGATTGGCCACAGCTCCGCTTCTCTCAAACAATCTGTTGGAGCAGATGGCCCTTTGCACCACAAACCAGAGCTGCAAAATTCCCACCCATGCCCAGAGGCACTTGGAAAAATCCCTGGAGGCACAAGAGCTGTGAAACATCCCCTTCCCGTCCTGCTGACACCTTCCCTTCCCACTCCTGGCATCCCATTGTGAACAAAATGCCTTTTTTTTTTTTTTGCATCTTTTATATTCACGAGGTGAATTTTTTTTAAGTTTGTACCAAAGGAAGTCCAGTTTCTTCTGCCTTTTTGGGAGGAGATGGTGCGACTCAAAACACGGGAAAGGCACATCCATGCTCTTTTTCCAGTGTTTCCAGGTGGAATCTCAACCTGGAATCTCAGCTAGAAAATGGAATTGCCCATATTTGCCTCTTTTCAGATGTATTTTCGGGGTATTTTCCTGAGGAATTCTTGGAAAACTCTTTGAAATGGAAAATGCTATAAATACATATGGTTATGTATATAAATATATCTGGTTTATTCTTATTTTGGCCCCAAAGGGCACTGAGACCACCCTTTGTGCCTCACCCCCCTGTTTTAGCACCGTTTTGGATGCCTTAATTCATTCCTGGGTAACCTGATTGAAAATCCACGGTTTAGCAACTCACAAATTGGTATTTTTAGGATATCTTTGTTGTGATTCTTATGTTTTCCGGGATTGTCCACGAAAGACAGGACCATAACTCTGAGAATTCTATTAAAAAAAAACCAAACAAAGATTATTTATTTCTTTGCAAGGATGGAGATTTCTTAAAAAAAAAAGAACATATGATTGGCTTATTTTTCTTCTTAAAAAAACCCAAAAAAACCCAAACCCTAAAGGCATGGATTTCTTCCAGTGCAGACTGTGTTTAAATATTTGCTTCCTGGAGTTTGTAATTGCTGGAAAGAAAGGAATTGTGTCTCATGCCAGAGGGGTTGTGCACACAAACATACAAACACACAGCCCAGCATTTATAGGACTGACCCAAATTGTCAACGATGCTCAGCTGGAGAGCACAAACCAGTCATAGAATCATAGAACCACAGAATCAGCTGGGTTGGAAGGGACCTCCGAGATCATCCAGCCCAACCCTTGATCCAACCCCGCCGTGGTTCCCAGCCCATGGCACTGATGCCACATCCAGTCTGTCCTTAAACACCTCCAGGGACGGAGAATCCCCCACTTCCCTGGGCAGCCCATTCCAATGGCTGAGCACCCTCTATGGAAAGAAATTCTTTCTGATGTCCAACCTAAACCTCCCCTGGCACAACTTGAGACCGAGCCCTCTTGTCTTGCTGATGGTTGCCTGGGAAAAGAGACCAACCTCTACTTGGCTCCCCCCTCCTGGCAGGGAGTTGCAGAGAGTGAGGAGGTCTCCCCTGAGCCTCCTCCTCTCCAGGCTGAGCCCCCCCAGCTCCCTCAGCCTCTCCTCCCAGCACTTGGGCTCCAGTCCCTTCCACAGCCTCGCTGCTCTTCTCTGCCCCTGCTCCAGCCCCTCCAGGCCCTTCCTGAGCTCAGGGCCCAGAGCTGGACACAGCACTCCAGGGGTGGCCTCCCCAGTGCCCAGCCCAGGGGCACAAGCCCTGCCCTGCTCCTGCTGCCACACTCTTCCTCAGCCAGCCCAGCAGCCATTGGCCCTCTTGCCCCCCTGGCCACACTCGGGCTCCTCTTCAGCTCCCTGCCCAGCCCAACTCCCAGCTCCCTTCCTGCCTGGCTGCTCTCCAGCCCCTCTGGCCCAGCCTGCAGCTGCAGGGGCTTCTTGTGGCCAAAGGGCAGGACCCGGCCCTTGGCCTGGTGGAACCTCATCCCATTGGAATCAGCCCAACTCTCCAACCTGTCCAGGTCCCAGTCGTTAATGAAATCTTCCTAATGAGGACACTTGACGGCCTTTTCACCTCTAAAATGCTTCTTGGAACCAGATTGGGGTGGTTCATTTGCACCTCTCTCTTTCTCTTGATGATTAATCCCTATTCAGGAACGTCTCTGGTACAAATAAAACCTGAAAAAACAGAGCAGAAAGTTCTGTCGCCCCCAAAACATTCCCTTCTCTCTCTGTGCCTCGGGATTTTATCTCTAATTACGTGGTAACACAGCACTGAACAACGTGGGTTTTTCCCTCCTGGAAGTGCAGGTGACATTGGAAAAGGGAGGTTGATCATAATTCCAGCTGCTCTCCAGGAATTTCGTAGCGGTAGGTTCTTCACTCTGTTGGGCCAGGACACGATGGGATTGGTACCTGGCTTTAGAGGAGAAACAGAGCGTGATTATTTTTGACAACTAAAGTAATTAACCGCTGGAACAATGCACCAGGAGTCCTCCACAACTGGAACATTTTTAATTAAGTTGTGCTCTAATGAAACCCTGGATATCAGGCTGGAAACGAGCCCTGACTCAGGGAAATCCTGCAGCCAGTGTGACGAGGGGAGGCTGATTTAGGTGATCCCAAAAATCCCTTCTGGCCTTAAAATCTATTAATCTATCCCAGCAGTGAGTCACTGTATTCACAGAGACACAGAAAGTTGAACTATGAGCCTAAAATGAGCCTAAATGAGCCTAAAAATCTTTAGGAGATGCTTCTTACAAGCTGTAGGGATCCCAAAAATTGGAATTAAGCTTTGGAGAACCAGCAATTGATGATGTAATGAAAGATAACTTCGTGGATGGTATTATGGAAGTGTTATGGAAGTTTTGTGGATGTCCCATCCCTGGAAGTGTCCAAGTCCAGGTTGGAGCAACCTGGGATAGTGGAAGGTGTCGGGGTTGGAACTGGATGGTCTTGAAGGTCCCTTCCAACCCAAACCATCCTGTGGTTCCGTAGAAATGTTCTCCATGTTCCTCTGGTGAAACCATAAATCCAAGGAATGTGAGGCTGTGAGGAATTGGAGCAGTGGGAATTTCTTGAAGAGAATTTGGATTCTGAGTGGAATCTTGTCAAGGAATCCTGTAAAACTAAAGATTACAGAGGAATTCTGCAATTCCCAAGCATTTAACAGGATCTGTGGCATGGAGAAGGAAGGAATTCCTGGCTAGGAGGATGGGGAGGGGCTAGAATGGATTTCCCAGAGCATCTGTGGCTGTCCCTGGATCCCTGGGAGTGTCCAAGGCCAGGCTGGAGCAACCTGGGAGAGTGGAAGGTGTCGGGATTGGAACCGGATGATCCATAAAGTCCCTTCCATCCCAAACCATGCTGAGATTCCATGTCACAGAGAAGGGTTCTGTCTTCACAGACCTGCCTGGAATCATTATCCACAAAGGGAATATCCTTGAGCAAGAATAAGACCCTTTCTGCTACATCTTGGTCCATTCTGTTGTTTCCAAGCTTCTTTCCTGGAATTCCCATCTTTAAATGTCTCTTTTATAAAGGACTTTTAAAATATATTTTTTTTCCTTCTCCAGCATTTGAAATGTATTGTTATAATAAGCTTTCTGTGCTAATTATATCCATATATAATATATATTTTTGCTAATTATATCCCTATATATTATATCCATAGTATGGGTGGTATAATATCCATTATATCCACGTAGTCTGCTAGATAAGAGAGCTGGTTTGCTGATCCTAAAATAGGAGTAAAGCCATTTTTTGGAATCTTTTCCCTCCATGCTTCTGTTGGATGGTTCCCATTACTCTTACACTATTTGTAATAAGAACGGTAAAAGAAATAAACTCTGTTTTCAGGTAAATCATATTAAATGGGCACATAGGTAGTTTTCTGCCCCTTAAAATTAATTCATTAATTATTTATTAATAAGTGAATTTATTGATTAAAAATCAGCGGGTTTGGAGTGATTTCAACTCTTTCCTGACGCGTTCCCAAGTGGCAAAACCTCGCTGAGATCTCAAAACGAAGAGTCCAAAATTCCAGCCTATTTTTAGATAAATTGCTGGTCACTCCAAAGGGCAGAAATGCTCTTCATTCTCTTGTTTTTAGCTGGAATGTGGGGAATTTAAGGATCTAAACCTCTGCTCAGCGTGGAAGAAAACGAAGAGCTTTTCTTGAGTTCTTTTATTGGGGTGTTATTTGTGTTCAGGGGAGTTTGAAGGATCTTTAAGTGGTCGAATTGAAGAATTCTTTATAAACCACCACCTTCCTGGGGCAGAGTCACCAGGTTACATCCGGGAGAGGGGAAAAGGGCTGGAGGATTAAATCCAGATTAAATCCAGGCTCGTTATCCTGATCATTAAAATATTCCACACCTGCAACAAGCCTGGGAAAAAAAACTCTTCAACAAACCCCAGAACTGCAGAGGGAGCTTTAGGAAAAAAAAGCTGGGAATGGGAAGAAATGATCCTAAATGAAGAAATGATCCTAAATGAAGAAATGATCCTAAATGAAGAAATGATCCTAAATACGACATTATTCCTTTGGCAAAGGACACCCGAGGGTCTTTAGTGCAGGGAGGGGAGTTTTTTGGTGCTGTTTTTATGTTTAGGGCACTTCAAAGAGCCCTGATTTTCTGTGATCATTAAAATATTCCACACCTGCAACAAGCCTGGGAAAAAACCTCTTCAACAAACCCCAGAACTGCAGAGGGAGCTTTAGAAAAAAAAAGCTGGGAATGGGGAAGAAATGATCCTAAATGAAGAAATGATCCTACGTTATTCCTTTGGCAAAAGACACCCGGGGGTTTTTAACACAAGGGGGGTTTTTTTGGGTGCTGTTTTTATGTTTAGGGCACCTCAGAGAGCCCTGATTGGAGTTGTTTGCAGGTGATTAAATGGCTCTTTATTTTCCTTTCTCGGAGCACTTTGCCTGGCCTGGACTCTTCTTACCCCATGCTGGTGTTGGTGGGCCCCGTGTCCTGTGGGAAGAGGGAACTCGCTCATAAGATCTGCAGGGAGTTCAACAATTTCTTCAGATTCGGGTAAGTTCGCTCCCAGAAATCCCAAAGAACACCAAAAGAATTCCAAAGAACTCCAGGCTGGAATTGCTGCTGGCTTGGGTTCTTTTTTTTTTCCCTCTAAAGAAGTTAAAACCGACAACAAAAATATTTGTTTTGATGCATTTTTAGCTCTTCCCGAGGCTCCATTGCCTGAAGTCGTCAAATACTTCCTAGAAAAAAAAAAAGTTAAATTATCCTGGTGTTTTCAAAGGTGAACAGCAGACAAAAAAAACCCATAAAAATAAAAATGTGGCTTTTAGTGCTCCTTTTATTGAGCTTTTCTCTCTGTGCTCGCTGGTGCCCCTCAGACTGAGCAGCTGGTTGGATCTGGGTGCATTTCTCTTAATTTTGGGGATGTGCCTGCATATAAAACATCAAAATGCACCCAAAATCCGGGAAAGGGAGGAAATGCAGTTGCTGGATGAGTTTATTGGCCTGTGAGTAGAGTTTTATTAAAGAAAATACCACCTTCCAGACTCCACCACCTCCTGGAAACACTAATTCACCCTGAATTCATAGAATCCCAGAATCATAGAATCAGGTGGGTTGGAAGGAACCTCTGAGATCATCCAGTCCAACAACCCTTGATCCAACCCCGCCGTGGTTCCCAGCCCATGGCACTGATGCCACATCCAGTCTCACCTTAAACATATCCATGGACGGAGAA